TGCATGTGTGTGTGAAGCTCACGTGTGCAACTCATGTGTGGGCATGCCTCACAAGTGTCTCTGCCTTGCATGTGAGTGGGTGGGTGCAGGCCTTGCTTGCCTGTCAGGTGTCGGGGATGTGTGCCTCTCGTGTGTGTACATATGTACCATACATGTGTGCATGTATGTGCTCCTGACACATGCTCGTGCATGTCTCACATAGGTCACACGTGCATGCACCTTGCATGTGTGTATGCACGTGTCCCTTGTGTGTGCCTTGCACACATGCATGTGGCTCATGTCTGTGCAGGTGGGTGCATTGCATGTGTGTGCACCTCCATGTGCCCTTGTATGCATCTCACACTCGTGTGTGCCCCTCGCATGGTGTGCAACTCCCTTGTGTTTGCCCTGCACACGCATGTACCTCCACACCTTACTTCCGTGTGTGCTTCCCACAGGCACGTGAGTCTTTGCATGTTCACCCGTGGGTGGGTGCTGTGCACACCCCCCACCGCACCTGCCCTGCCTGCACACATCCGCACCCCTTCTGCACGCTTGCCCCGTGCCGTTTGTGTGTGCGCGTGTGTGCGTGTGCGAGCACCTCAGCCAGGCTCCCGGCTCCCCACCCACAGCCGCACACATCTCGCCCACGGGGGCAGCCAGCAGGTCTTGCACGGAGACGGTGTGTTGCACGCATGTTGTGCACATGGGGAGGGGGTGCGGAGCCTTCCCAGGGGTGAGGGGGCAGCTGGGGGAGGCCGTGGCACCCCCCGCTGGGTCCCCGCTGCCCCTGGGGGGGTTGTGCATGGAGCCGGGCCGGTGCCTGAGGCCGCGTGTGCATCGCGTGTGCGTGCAGGTGAGGCGGCGCCACAGGACATGACGGCGCAGGTGCTGAGCCCGTCAGGGAAGGCGTCCGAGGCGGAGATCGTGGAGGGAGAGGACAGCGCCTACAGCGTGCGCTTCGTGCCACAGGAGATGGGCTCCCACACCGTGGCCGTCAAGTACCGGGGCCAGCACGTGCCCGGCAGCCCCTTCCAGTTCACTGTGGGGCCCCTGGGCGAGGGCGGCGCCCACAAGGTGCGGGCAGGAGGCACGGGGCTGGAGCGCGGCGTGGCCGGCGTGCCAGGTAGGGGCACTCGCACAGGGACAGCAGGGTGGGCAGGCCTTGCACGAGCAGGGGCGGAGCTTGCACAGAGCAGCCCACACAAGGGGTGCAGCAATGGGGTGGGAGAAGCTTGCACAAGGGAATGGGGGGAATTTGCACAGAGCGACTCCCGTGGAGACTGGGGAGGGCAGAGCTTGCACGAGGGGGTGGGTGGAGCTTGCACAAGGCACCACAGAGGGGCTTTGGTGTGGGCAGGGCTTGCAGGGGGACAGCGGTAGCCGGCAGGGGATACAGGGAGCCGGGAGGGCACGGGGGTGTCACGAGCAGGCCGTGGCACGGAGAGGTCTGGGCTGATTGTGGGGGTCTGAGATGCCCGAGGGGAGGGGGGCGGGATGGGGCCACGTGGCCCCATGCTGAAGCCCCCGGTCCTGCCCCACAGCCGAGTTCAGCATCTGGACACGAGAGGCGGGTGCCGGGGGCCTGTCCATCGCCGTCGAGGGGCCCAGCAAGGCTGAGATCGCCTTCGAGGACCGCAAGGACGGCTCCTGCGGCGTCTCCTACGTGGTGCAGGAGGCTGGTGAGTGCTTCGCCCCCACCCCCAGCCCCCGTGCAGGGTGCACGCACACGTGCGAGGCCTGACACCTTCCCCCTGCAGGCGACTACGAGGTCTCCATCAAGTTCAACGACGAGCACATCCCCGACAGCCCCTTCGTGGTGCCCGTGGCCTCCCTGTCCGACGACGCACGGCGGCTCACGGTCACCAGCCTGCAGGTAGGGCCCTGCCCCCACCGCCCCCCCTGCCCACCACTGCCCCTCACCCCCGACCCGCAGCCCCCTGCACGCAGGGACCCCCTGCTCACGACCTGAGCCCCGATCGCTCCCATTTCCCCACCCCCCAGCACGGGACCCCAGTGCCTGCCCTTGCCCCCAAAGCAAAGGGCAAGACCCTCCCTGGTCTCCATGCTGCCCCCCACCTCTGACCCCCCCACCCACACACGTCCTCTCCTCCCATAGGAGACGGGGCTGAAGGTGAACCAGCCGGCCTCCTTCGCGGTGCAGCTCAACGGCGCGCGCGGGCTCATCGAGGCCAAGGTGCACACGCCCTCGGGCGGCGTGCAGGAGTGCTGCGTCTCCGAGCTCGATAGCGGTGAGCGGGGTGCGGGGGACGGAGGGCCTGGTGCAAGTGGGGGGGCTGGGGCCAGTGCCTCATTGATGCCCCATTGCGCTCTCCCTCCAGACAAGTCAGCCATCCGGTTCATCCCGCGGGAGAACGGCGTCCACTCCATCGACGTGAAGTTCAACGGGCGCCACATCCCCGGCAGCCCCTTCAAGATCCGCGTCGGGGAGCAGAGCCAGGCTGGCGACCCCGGGCTTGTCACCGCCTACGGCCCCGGCCTCGAGGGCGGCACCACAGGTCGGGGGGCTTGGGCTCAGTGGGGTCAGGGTCTGGATAGGAGACCCCGGGGGGGCTAGTCGGGGTCCGGCTAAGCAGGATGGGGCAGGTTGGGGTCTGGGTGGGAGACCACATAGCGGGGTTGGGGCGCCTGTGCAGCTCTCCAAGCTAAGCAGGATCAGGCAAGGGTGGGGCTTGGATGGGAGACCATGCTGGGGGACGGGGAGGCACCAAAGCACCACTCTCTGTGCCAGAGGGGTGGGCCTGCCTGGTGCCCCCCACCCCTTCTGTCATCACCCCTGCTGTTGAGAGGGGGAGAGTGCTGGGGCCCAGCCCCACTGACGTCCCACGCGTGCCCGCAGGCGTGTGCTCGGAGTTCTTCGTGAACACGGTGAACGCGGGCGCCGGCGCGCTGTCGGTCACCATCGACGGCCCCTCCAAGGTGCAGCTGGACTGCCAGGAGTGCCCCGAGGGCCACCGCGTCACCTACACACCCATGGCACCCGGCAGCTACCTCATCTCCATCAAGTACAGTGGCCCCCACCACATCGTGGGCAGCCCCTTCAAGGCCAAGGTCACAGGTATGGCGCTGACCCCCTGCCCAGCTCTGCTGGTGCCCCTCACTCCCGCTCCGCAGCCGGCAGGACGGGATTCACAAGGGGCTGTCCCCTTCCCCGCAGGTCCACGGCTGTCAGGCGGGCACAGCCTGCATGAGACGTCGACGGTGCTGGTGGAGACGGTGATGAAGTCAGCGGGCGCGGCGGTGGCGGTGGCAGCAGCACGGGGTCCCGGCTTCCCAGCCATGCCCAAGTTCTCGTCCGACGCCAGCAAGGTGGTGGCGCGCGGCCCCGGGCTCAGCAAGGCCTTCGTGGGCCAGAAGAACACCTTCACGGTGGACTGCAGCAAGGCTGGTACGGAGGCGGGGCCTGGGGTGAGAGGTGGGGCCTGAGGGGAGGGGGCGTGGCCTCTGGATAGGGGTGTGGCCCAGCTGACAGGGTCCCTCCGGTTGGCAGGCAGCAACATGCTGATGGTGGGCGTGCACGGGCCCAAGACGCCGTGCGAGGAGGTGTACGTGAAGCACGTGGGCGGGCGCGTCTACAACGTCACCTACACGGTGAAGGAGACGGGCGACTACGTGCTCATCCTGCGCTGGGGCGACGAGAACGTGCCTGGCAGCCCCTTCCGCGTCAGCGTGCCCTAGGTCGCACCAGCCTCTGCCCCCGCCGGTGCCTGCGTGTCTTGATCCCTCCCGGCCCCGCCAGTGCCCGCGTGTCCCCATCTCCCCCTGCCTTGCTGGTGCCCATGTGTCCTGATCCCCCCACCCCACCAGTGCCCGCATGCCCCGATTCCCCCATCCTGCCAATGCCTGTGTGCCTTGATCCCCCCTGCCCTGCCGGTGCCCATGTGTCCCAATCCCCCTGCCCCGCCAGTGCCTGTGTGCCCTAGTACAGGACATGTCCCACCCTCCCACCTGCCAGCCCACTGCACACCGGCTACCCACAATGCCCTGCACCCGGGCCCTGGGCAGAAGGGCCCTTTGCACTGGTTCTCAGTGGGGCGGGGGGTAGAAGGCACTGCCCGCCTGGCGGGGCATGGAGGGCAAGAGCCAAGGGGACATGGTGCCCCCCACCCAGGGGATCCCAAAACCAGTCTTTTTTTTTTGTAAAAAAGGAGAAAAAAAAACTATATACAAAAAATGCTGCTGGGGGGGAGGGGGGAGCCGGTGCCCCCCACTCAGCACCCCCCACCACAATAAACCACTCGCTCGTCTGCCACCAGCACCGCATCCTGTGGTCTGTGTCCGCCTGGGGTGGGGGCCCATGTGCCAGCCTTAGAGCCCCTCAAGCTGCCACGCGGGCCACGCCGACCCCCCCACAGGGGCCAGGGCAGCAGGGGAGAGGCCTCCAGTGCATCCTGGGGGGCCCCGACGCCTGGGTTCCCTCCCTGCTTGGGGGGGTAGGATTTAGGACCCTTGGACTCCCCCAGCTCTTGGGAGGGGATTAAGGTTTAGGACCCCTGGGGTCTCTCCCAGCTCTGGGGGGTAGGGTTTAGGACCTTTCGGAGCTCCCCCCCACCTCTGGGGTGTAGGGTTTAGGACCCCTGGGGTCTCCCCCAGCTCTGGGGGGGTAGGGTTTAGGACCCTTGGGAGCCCCCCCCCCGGTCTGGGGGGTAAGGTTGAGGATGCATTGTGGGTCCCCCCCTCTCGACGCCTGGGTTCCCTCCCTGCTTGTGGGGGTAGGATTTAGGACCCTTGGACTCCCCCAGCTCTTGGGAGGGGATTAAGGTTTAGGACCCCTGGGGTCTCCCCCAGCTCTGGGGGGGTAGGGTTTAGGACCCTTGGGAGCCCCCCCCCCAGCTCTGGGGGGTAAGGTTTAGGACCCTTAAGGCTCCTCCCCAGCTGTGGGATGTAGGGTTTAGGACCCCGGGGCTCCCCCAGCTGGAGGATGGGTAGAAGCAGCATGGCCCTTCGAGCATGCGCAAAGCAGCGCACCCCGCGCAGGCGCAGAACGCCGTGGAAGGGGCGCATGGCCGGACGTGGGAAGCTGCTAGCGGTGCTGGGCGACGAGGACACGGTGACCGGGTTCCTGCTGGGCGGCGTGGGCGAGCTGGACAAGCACCGCAAGCCCAACTTCCTGGTGGTGGAGAAGGAGACCAGCATCACCGAGATCGAGGAGACCTTCCGGTGCGTGGCGGGGGGGATTTGGGGGTAGAAAGAGGGGATTTGGGGCAGGATGGGGGTAGAAAGTGGGATTTGGCGGTGG